GTTAGGGATTGATGACTTGATGATTTGTTTGAAGTAGTTAATTAATTAAGGGTTCAGTTATTATATATTTTAAATAGCTGAATTAATTGTATTTAAGTATTTGATTAAATTGATCAATTTAATAGAACTATTCATTTGGCTATAGTAAGCTTTCAACCAAATTGATTATATATGATTATAGTAATCTGTTGATTGCCTACTATTGGTTTATTATTAAAACAATTAGAATATATTGTATAATTGATTAGAATATTGTATAAATTGAATGGATTTATCTCCTGACCTTTATTTAAATTACTGGTCAAGTGATTGGATTTATTGGCTATCAAGTCTGAAATTGAAGCACATGGTAGGATAGGTGGGTATAAATTGTTGACCCAGCAGTGCTGGAAGCAGTACACCACTAACTGGTACTATATACATATGCTGGATGCTTGACATCAGTTTCACCAGTTGGTCTGAGGCTCGTGAAGACCACTAGGTGCAGCAATGATTGGGCAAGGGATTCCAGTGCTCCTGGGGGAGGGGAAAGTACAGTGGTGAGACTAGACATGGAGATAAGGGAAGGGGGCAGAGAAGTACAATAGCTCGGCCTTCTTCCAGCCTACATCCCATCCCAAAGGTTGTAGGTAGTGGGGATAGGATAAATGATCCCCCTCCAACATTGGCGTTGTGTAACGGCAGGTCTATAAATAAAAAGACCACAGTCCTTTGGGACTTCCTGCATGAGAAGAATGTAGACCTGACATGCATGACCGAGACCTGGGTGCGGACTAGGGGGTGGGGGGCGGGGAGTGGCCCTATTCATTCAGGAGGCTTACTCCTTCAGAGCGCTTCCACTGCCGAAGGTCCCAAACATTGAGTGTTTTGGCCTATCGTGGGAGGCCGGGAGAGTTTGGCAATCTTGATGGTGTACTGACTGCCCAAGCCAGTAGCTTGCCATCCCTGATAGAGGCTGCATCGGGCTGGCCATTGGAACACCCTAGACTAATAATCTTGGGTGACTTCAATGTCCACGCCGACTATGTGACCTCCACTTAAGCAACAGAGTCAAAGGTTCTTCTCAGGGTAACAGGGCTCATGTGGGCTACATGTGTTGGGAGGCTGCAATGGGGAGGGGGAAGGGGACAGATCTCCCTCTCTGCCCTCTTCCATCAGCAGCGCTCCACTGACAGAAAAGGCAGAAATGGCAATTTCATTCCCTTCCCCCCCCCACTGCAGCATCACAACCAGGGTTCCTTCTAAGCTGAGTTAGTGTGAGCTAACTCACAGTTTTTTAGCCTCCAGCTCTCACATTTTTGTCTCAGCTCACGAAGGATGGCTCCAGAGTAAACTAATTTATGCAGTAGCCAAATTGTTGCTCACAACTTTTATGCCAGTACCTCACAAAGTAGAATGTTTGCTCACAAGATTCCACAGCTTAGAGGGAACACTGCTCACAACCTGCGTGGATATTAGTCCACTGCTAGTTGGAGGGGAATAAACTTCTAGGAGGAGGGAAATGTGGGGAAAATCCATGACCATCTGTTTAAATTACATTTGAATAGAGGCAGTATCATTTCTACCCCAACTTCCACCTGACAGGCTGAACCCAAGTGGCTTCTAACTGCAGTTATTTCTGATGAAACATGAGCTAGTTAGAAAAATAACTTCTGTTAATTTTCTTGGCCATAATAAGGCTGATCAGTAAAGAGGCTTGGTACTATATACAAGCATAACACACACCATTTACTGAGCACATTCCAGTTATTTCTGTTTTTAATTCCTGGGTGCTGAGAACAGTTAATAGCCAAGCTTTTACTCTTTTTTTTTTGGGCCCCCGTAGGGGATTTTTTAAATTGCATTTTCTATAAACTACAAAGAGACAAGGGAGGGTATACTACAAACTACAGGTAAAAGTAAAGAAAACCACTAAAAACCCAAGAGATGGTGGTCATACACAATGCTTATAAAATTAGCCTCTAATATATTAGCTCATACTTTGCTATGTTAAGTGAGTACATAGTTCTTGTTGCTTAAATTAGCATCTCCAACACATCTGGCTATATAAAGAACTCTAAAGAAAAATGCTTTAAATTGACTTAAAACAGGATCCAGAGAACAATCACAACTCATTTTTTTCCTTCTTGTTTCTTAATCAATAGCTTAATTTAGGGGCAGCCGCCCCTAGTTCAGAAACTGAGTCCTCATCAGAAGGTGCAAGTACCCTTTCTTCTTCACTTCCCATGGTGCTGCCATCATCATCTTTTTCACCTTCCCCTGCTGA